TCAAACATTAATTTAATAATTGTAAAAATTCGTCGCATTTTCGAAGAAATCAATCATACAAGCTTGTTAGTGGTATCAATACTTTAAAGGCTGATGCATGCGTTCCGTATTCACGTTAAGATTTCCTTCATAAAGTCGTTTTTGATTCCTTAATTTCCCGCAAAAAAAAAAAAAACCATCCGAAAGTTTGGCCACGCAAAATACATATTTCCACAACCATAAATAAAACTACAAGGCATTCAGTTAAAATACAATCAGAAATTTATAACTTTAAAATGAAATTTAAAAAATTTCACAAATTGAAACTCACAAATAAAGCTAAAAGCTCGAAAACTCCGATGTCCGATTTCAATTTAAATCGGACAAATTCAATTGCCTTCCACTACAGCAGCATTATTTCCATTCAATTTCAAAGTTCGATTTTGCTTTTATAGTGATTTTACAGATAATGGTACATTTTCAATACCGTTCCCAAAAAATGGCGCATAAAATTGCACACTATCCAATGCTAAAAAGTAAATAATAAAGATTAGTATTGAAAATGTACATTTTCTTACCATTTTTTGTTTTTAAAAATTTCTAAATTTCTAAAAATTATTTGAAGTGAACAATAATAAACGGTAAATTTCCGATGGCTCTTAAAAGAATTCTAATAATTCAAAGTTCAAAGGGTGAAGTGATTGGAAATTTTCAAACATTTTTAATGATTTGGCTACTCATTGCTGAAGACATAAGAAAGAGAGAGAGAGAGAGAGGGGGAGAGAGGGAGAGAGAGCTATTATCCTTTGTGAAGAGGAAAAAAGATAAAGGGGAGTTGATTATTTTGACATTTTTGCCCGGAATAAATATTTTTTAAAATCGTTATTAAATAAAGCTTGTCCTGTTATTTGACCAAGAATTAATTATTCAAATTAAGGATTATTTTCTAATAAAAAGAATAAAATATATACATATATTAACTAATTATCTAAAACAAGCAGAAAAATTCATACGAAATATTATCCAAAGTAGTAAATATTTAATTTATTGCAACAGCCACACATATGCGTATTTTTTTAATCTGCACGTAAACATCTAGGTACATAGATGCTTACGTGCAGATTAAAAAAATACGTCTCCCCCTCTCTCCCCCTCTCTCTCTCTCTCTCTCTCTCTCTCTCTCTACCGTCTTCAGCGATGAGTATACGAAATTATTAAAAATGTTAAAATTTTTTCCAGCTAACATTCAGCAGTTTCACAACAATTTCTCATGATCTATACATAAATCGTCATCTCATACTAAAAATTCTTGTAGCTGCCGTGAGAAATTTACCATTCCTTACAAAAGAGACTATTGTAATAAGAAATTGTACAGACATGCAAGAGATAAGGAAAATAGTAAATCAACCAGACATACAAAATAGATAAAGCCAATGATGGCTGCTAACCTCTCATCTTTTGAAGGGGAAAAAAACAAAGGGAGTTATTATTTTGATATTTTTATTTAAAGCATTTTTTAAAATCATTATTAAATAAAACTTGTCCTGTCATTTTACTGACAATTAATTATTCAAATTATGGATTATTTTACAGCATAAAGTTACTTTGCTCGTCGAAATACATATGTAAACATAAATTAATTATTTAAAATAAATAATCATGAATGAACCACATTACAAAATATATATA